AGCACGGAGTCCCGTGTCACGGAGCTGCATTCACAGTGGAGAGAAACCATTCACGTGTTCCATATGTGGATGAGGCTCCAATGAATCGTCTGCCCTGTCAAGACATAAATGCATGAACACTGGGGAGAAACTGTTGAAGTGTGGTGACTGTGGGAAGGGATTCAATCAAAATTGAAAATACGTCAGTGCTGCCACACTGGGCAAAGGCTGTTCACCTGTTCCAAATGGCAGAAGACCTTCACTTGGTTATCCAACTTGCTGAGATACTAACAAGCTCACATTGAAGAGAAACCGTTCATGTATTCGAAATGCGGGAAGGGATGCACTCAGTTATTCAACCTGCTGATACACCAGAGCGGGTTCACACTGATGAGGGAGCTTTTAAATGTCCAGAATGTGAGAAATGCTTTAAAAGTTTCCAGGAACTGATGTACCATGAATGTGTTCACACTGATGCGAAACCATTCAAGTATTCTCACTGTGGGATTGGGTTCAGGACATCATCTGAAATCACTGTACATCTACGAATCACACGGGAGAGAGGCCGTTCACCGGCTCCAAATGAGAAGGGATTCACTCCTTGTAAAACTTTCAGAGGTGAATTCACAGTGGAAACAGGCCATTTACATGTTCTGAGCGTGTGAAAGGATGCACTCAGTTATCCTCACTGTTGGTATACTGGCGGGTTCACACTGATGAGAGACCTTTTAAAGTCCAGAGTGTGGGAAGTACTTCAAACATTCGCAAGAACTGATGACCCATTAACGTGTTCTTGTGACGAGTGACTGTTCATGTGTTCTTGCCTTTGGGACTGGGTTCGAGCAATCATCTGACCTCACTGTATGTCAGTGCACTCATGCTGGGGAGAGGCAGTTACCTGCTCCAAGTATGCAAATTGATTCAATTGAATGTGCACCCTTCTGAGACACCAGCGAGTTCACACTGGGGAGAAACCATTCAGTTGCTCAGAATATGGGAAAAGATTTGTTCATCTGCCCTCCTGAGACTCCAGTAAGGTCAGATGAAATTACAGTGACTGGACTCTTGCAGTTAATCACATCACAGACAGTAGTGTGAATATTAGGACCTGTTTTTGCTGATCTTAATAATCTCCAGACCAAATATAAGTATTTGTATTTTGGATAAAATTTAATTTAATCCACTTTATGTCATACAATTTCTTCATATCTCTCACACGTTAATTTCTTTTGAAGGGCTCTCCCTCTCCCTCTCTCCATCCCCTCCACCCTTGCCTCTGACAACAAGTGCAAGGAGCTCACGGAGCTTCTTTATTGCTAAGATTGAAACAACCCGATCAACTGCCCTGCTGCTTCTCACCCCTGCACCAGTTCACTACACTGAAATGCCCCTAAATATCCACCTTATCTAAGTCCTACACTCCCCTCTTCCCCCATCCAGCCTCCTCATGCACCGCAAATTCATAGTGAACAAGGAGAGATTCAAACGCTTGCAGTTCCCTTGTAAGGAGCTTGCTTAGATTGCACCGGAAGTACTGTGTGCAGTTCTGGTCTCCTTAACTCCGGAAATATATTATTGCCGTACAGTAAGTGCAGTGAAAAGACTTGTTCCTGGGATAGTGCATGGGATTGGGTGAAGTGTATTGAGATGGATAGAAAACCGGTTGGCAGAGAGGAAACAACGTGTAGGAATTAATGGGAGAGATAGTAGGAACTGCAGATGCTGGAGAATCTGGGAAACAAGGTGTAGAGCTGGATGAACACAGCAGGCCAAGCAGCATCGGAGGAGCAGGAAGGCTGACGTTTCGGGCCTAGACCCTTAGTCAGAAATGGGGGAGGGGAAGGGGATTCTGAAATAAATAGGGAGAGAGGGGGAGGCAGAAAGAAGATGGATAGAGCAGAAGATAGGTGGAGAGGAGACAGACAGGTCAGAGAGGCGGGGACGGAGCCAGTAAAGGTGAGTGTAGGTGGGGAGGTAGGGAGGAGATAGGTTAGTCCAGGGAGGACGGACAGGTCAAGAGGGCGGGATGAGGTTAGTAGGTAGGAGATGGGAGTGGGGCTTGTGGTGGGAGGAGGGGATAGGTGGGAGGAAGGACAGGTTAGGGAGGCGGGTCGAGCTGGACTGGTTTTGGGATGCGGTAGTGGAGGGGAGATTTTGAAGCTTGTGAAATCCACATTGATATCATTGGGCTGCAGGGTTCCCAAGGGGAATATGAGTTGCTGTTCCTGCAACCTTCGGGTAGCATTGTTGTGGCACTGCAGGAGGCCCAGGATAGACATGTCATCTGAGGAATGGGAGGGGGAGTTGAAATGGTTCACGATTGGGAGGTGTAGTTGTTTAGTGCGAACTGAGCGTAGGTGTTCTGCAACGTGGTCCCCAAGCCTCCGTTTGGTTTCCCCGATGTATAGGAGGCCACAATGGGAACAGCGGATGCAGTATACCACATTAGCAGATGTGCAAGTGAACATGTGCTTGATGTGGAAAGTCTTCTTGGGGCCTGGGATGGGGGTGAGGGGGGAGGTGAAGGGGCAGTTGTAGCACTTCCTGCGGTTGCAGGGAAAAGTGCTGGCTGTGGTGGGGCTAGAGGGGAGTGTTGTAAGGACAAGGCAGTCACGGAGAGAGTGGTCCCTCTGGAAAGCAGATAAAGGTGGGGAGGGAAAACTGTCTTTGGTGGTGGGGTCGGATTGCAGATGGCAGAAGTGTCGGAGGATGATGTGTTGGATCTGGAGGTTGGTGGGATGGTACATGAGGATGAGGAGGATTCTGTTTTGGTTGTTATTGCGGGGAGGGGATGTGAGGGATGAGTTGCGGGAAATGCGGGAGACACGGTCGAGGGCGTTCTCGACCACTGACGGGGGGGCAGTTGCGGTCCTTGAAAAACGAGGACATCTGAGATGTACGGGAGTGGAATACCTCATCCTGGGAGCAGATGTGGCGGAGGCGAAGGAATTGGGAATAGGGAATGGCATTTTTGCAGGAAGGTGGGTGGGAGGAGGTGTATGCCAGGTAGCTGTGGGAGTCGGTGGCCTTGAAATGGATATCGGTTTCTAGGTCGTTGCCAGAAATGGAGACAGAGAGGTCCAGGAAGGAGAGAGAGGTATTAGAGATGGTCCAGGTGAACTTAAGGTTGGGGTGGAAGGTGTTGGTGAAGTGGATGAACTGTTCGAGCTCCTCGTGGGAGCACGAGGCGGCGCCGATACAATCATCAATGTAACAGAGGAAGAGGTGGGGTTTAGGGTCTGTGTAGGTACGGGATCCCTCTTCCGTACCGACACAGGACACACCTAGAATATTGTGTGCAGTTTTGGTCTCCTTTTCTGAGGAAGGATGCTTTTGCCCTTGAGGGAGTGCAGCGAAGGTTTACCAGGCTGGATTCCAGGGATGGCAGGACTGACATAAGGAGAGATTGACTAGGTTAGGATTGTTTTCATGGGAGTTCAGATGAACGAGGGGGGAATCTCATAGAGATTTATAAAATTCTTACAGGACTAGACAGGGTAGATGCAGGGAGGATGTTTCCGATCAGGGGCGTGTCCAGAACCAGGGGTCACAATCTGAGGATTCGGGGTAGACGATTTAGGACAGAGACAAGGAGACATTTCTTCACCCAAAGAGTGTTGAGCCTGTGGAATTCATCACCACAGGAAGTAGGTAATGCCAAAACATTGAATGTATTCAAGAGACAGCTAGATATAGCACTTGGGACAAATGGGATCAAAGGTTGTGGGGAGAAAGCAGGACTAGGTTATTGAGTCGGATGATCAGTCATGCTCGTGATGAATGGCAAAGCAGGCTCAAAGGGCTGAATGGCCTCCTCCTGCTCCTATCCTCTATGTTTCTCTGAATGTCGTATGAAGAGGTTTAAAAGTAGAAATGAGCTGATGATACACCAGTGAATTCACTGCGGAGAAGCCATTCATCTGTGCTTTGTGTGGAATAGGCTTCACTCAGTCATCACAGCTCAGTAAACACCAACTGGTTCATACTGAAGGGAGACTGTTTCCGTATTCTGACCAAAGGAAGAGCTTTAAAAGCACAACTAATCTGCTGAGGCACCAACCCACTCACACTGGATAGAGACCATTCACTTGCACCGCCTGACACAAGAGT